TTTCTTAGAGTCCTTCTGCTGACCATGTCTTTCCTAGAGTCCTTGTGCTGTGTGACTGGGTGCTGCCAGTAAGGTTCCCGCCCAGTAGAAGCTCCTCTTTAGGAAAGCAATGGTTTTGCGGGGGGGGGGTCGGACCGTAGCAGCCCCCCTCCCCCTTGAGTAGGTGGCTCCTATCGCAAGGGCTGGGCTGGGCTGGGCTGACTCTTTTTGAACTCGTTTTTCATCCGTTATCTTTCGTCTTTGTATTCATGTTTGCCGATGATAAGCAACAGGACTGATGCCCCCCAGAATAGAAGGGGTAGTTGCATTGGAAAAAAAAAAAAAGAAAAAAAAAAGCCAGTTTCTCCATGTCGCGGTGACATGTGATCAAAGGCCTATTTCAGTGATTTGGGGGGTATAAACCAATGGACCAGTAACCATTTGTTGAACTTTGTTCTCTTTTTTTGTTTTGTTTTGTTGTTTGCTTCGGGGGTTATGAACCAATGGGCCGTTAACCTGTGTGTCTTTTTAACGGGGAACGGGGGAATTAAACTCCTGTTGAATCCGGTTAAATTCAAAAGAATCCCATTGAATTCGCGTTAAACGCGAAAATGGGCCGTTCCTGCACTTTTCGGAAAAACGGAATTGATGCGCGGAGTCCAGAACATGTGGCCCTAGGGAAAAAAAAAAAAAAAAAAACCCTGAAGCACCTCCCATCCGCCCCCACAACCCCCAACCCCCAACGCCCCAGTTATGTGTGTGTAGGTGTACTGTGTGTGCGCGTATGTGTGTATGTGTGTATGTGTGTGCTTGCGCGTGAGAGTGTGTCTGTGCATGAATATGAATGTATGCGCGTGTGTTTGCGTATGTGTGTGTTTGTAAGTGTGTGTGTGTGTGTGTGTGTGTGTGTGTGTGTGTGTATGATTTGTGTGTGTGCATGATTGTTAGCATGTGTCCATTGTTTCCCTTTTGAGGGATATAGTTTTTTTCCTGTTGAGAACTGGGGGCGGGCGATTTGGGTCTGTGTTTTTTCTTTTTTTCTCTTCTACTGCATCTTCCCAGAAATACAGTATCCAAGCATTCTGCTGTTCGTTACCAAGTAACGAAATCTAGAACGGACTGCCATGCCTCGTTGGCAGAGCTTGCTAAGAAAAGAAAAGAAAAAAAAAACGTACTTACCTTTGCCATGAATCTGGTAGAACATAGGTAGATACACTGCTAGTAGTTTAGAGCTTGAAATGTCATTCTTCCTGGCCGCGTGTGGGACGGCACAGCCCTCAGTAGTTTGCTATTCACTTTTCAGGCGTTTCTTTTTTCGCTTTTTTTTCCCTCTTGCGATCCAAGAATCTGGGCTCCGTCCAGCGGCCCAGCTCAGTGGATTAGGCACACAAGTGGCATTCAGGAGGTTGTGGGTTCAATCCCCGCCTATGGCACTCTCGATGCCAACCAACTGAGATAGTCAGCTGGATCCTCCCCGTCTGTATCAATAAGGTCTTCAGCCAACACGGCTGGGAGGCACCCCCTGTCCCTACTATCCTACCTCAGTGTGACCAGCACTAAGGACCATCACCCTACCAGTATTGAGGGAAACTTGGACCACATAGCAGTGACAACCACCAGGGTTGGGCCAACCTCCCAGCTCTAATAGAAGCGGAGGCGGACAAACCATGCCGTACGGGAACTTTGGACGCCAGACTCATGCAATCTGCTACAGGCCCAATTTTGTGTGTGTGTCTGTCTTTTTTTCCTTTTTGTTATTTGCTTTTTATGTTTTTTTTTTTTTTTTTTTAAATACACGAAGTTCTAAAAAAAATAAAAAAATAAAAGAATTGTTGAACAGCTTTGAAAGATCTACAACCCTATATTTTTTATTTGTTTTTCTGTTTTGTTTTAGCCCTTAAAAAAATCTGTGTGAAACCCAAGAAAAAAACACTCATTTCATTTTAGTTTTTGTTTTTTTTCATTGTGTGTTTATGTTTTGGATAAAATATATTTAAACATCAAAAAATAAAAATAAAAATATAGGGTTATAGTCCTCAAAAAAACCTACACCCCCCCCCCCTTTTTTTTTTTTTGATAATTTTTAGCCCAGGAAAAAAACCATCGCAGACCCCGTTAATTTGCGTCCAACGCGCATTTGAACCGGCGTTTCACTCGAATTCAACGCGCGTTGAATTTTTCAACGCAGAACCCGCGTTGAATTCAAAATCGGACACACAGCCGCTAACCATTGAATTTCAGAGAGAGGGGGCGGTTGTGCAATTTTTCCCCTCCTTTGCGTATAAAAGGATTGCGGTCAATAAGAAAGGGGGGGGAAAGCAGCAGGCAAAAGCAGATACCAAAAAAAAAAAAAGAAGCCAGATACTTCTGAAAGTTGTGATGAACATATACGGACTGGCCTCCCTCACAGGTGCTACACCCCTGAATTGTTGAAATGTAGACCAGGTGCTGAGTTCGAACTTCACTGGAAGCAGATGAGTAACTACGAGATTCCACTGGCAAAGAGGATTGTAGTAAGTGTCTGAATGTGGACGTGTTTGTGGACAGCTGCAAAAAATTGCGATTGCTCAACTTTTTCTGCACCTCTGCGTGGACCACGTCCAGATTCGGACACTTCTTGGAATCCTCTTTGCCAGTGGCATCTGGCCCTAAAGGACTGCTGCAATTCTCCATCAATTACCGAGCAAAATCCCACTGGCAAAGAGGATTGTAGTAAGTGTCTGAATGTGGACGTGTTTGTGGACAGGTGCGAAAAACTGTGATTGATCTCCTTTTCTGCACCTCTGCGTGGAACACGTCCAGATTCGGACCCTTCTTCCTATCCTCTTTGCCAGTGGGATCTGGCCCTAAAGTACTGCTGCAATTCTACATCACCTACCAGTGTGAACGGTCACTTCGGATGATGATATATCAAGGCAACGAATGATGATATACCAAGGCCGTTGCCGTTAACAAAAAAAAAAAAAAAAAAAAGGAAGGAAAAACAGCAGACAAACAGAGGGAACAAGGGTTTTAGGCTTTTGGGGATGTAGATGGCTCAAACTGTGTTTTGGTTTGGGTTTTGCTCCTTTGTTCTTCTCTCCTTCTTTGGTAGTAAGACTAGATATTGGAGTAGTGGTTACACAGACCTGGGTGCTCTTTTGTTCCTTTTTTCCTTGGCTTTTTAACCGTTAGTAGGATGAGGTGGGTTTCCAGCTCCCTGAACAGGTTCAGGCTGAAAGAGAATAGGCCTGACTGCATTAGGATTGGAAGGGGTTAATTTTTTTTCTGAGGGTTAAGTGCTTTTGTTTTTTTCCTTTTTTGGTGACCATTTCCGGGAATTGTGAGGACGCGGCCTCAAATTACCTTTTTCATGAGTGATCAAGTGTACTTCTTTTTGGGGAAAAAAAAAAAAAGGAAAAAAAAAAAAGGGATTTTTTTTTTTTTTTTTTTTTTTTTTTGGACCATTTCTCGATTTATGCGTGTCATCCTTGCGCAGGGGCCATTTGCTAGTCTACCCTTCTCTGTATCGTCCCAATTTTAACGGATGTCCCGGAGGGCGGGGAAAGATTTCAGGCCAAGGTAGGCCTGTGAATAGGAGATTAGACTGGGAATAGCAGTTGTTCCAGCTAGAAATAGACAGAGTATAGCCTAGGGGAGGGTAGAGCAGGTGGTTTTCTGTGTTGCACGGCGATGACAAGACAGTCCTAAGCGAAGTTGGGAAACGGTCGAAGCAGGCTACTACTACGGTTTTTTTTTTTTTTTGTTTTTTGTTTTTTTTTACCGGGTTGATTGTGAGGACCCCGGCCTCGTTTCCATTGATTGTTTGACAATTGAAATATACGAGACCTGCTTTGAGAAGAAAGAAAAGAAAAGGGAAAGAAGGGGTACGTACATGGGCCTTGCAGGCCCCCCCTTGGCTACTATCCACATGCACAAAAGACAAAAAAAAATGAAAATGTATCTTTCCATGTTCTAGCGGAGGATTCAGTCTCATTTTGCACATTTGGAGCGTAGTGGAGGGAGGCCCCATCAAAGGGCAGGAATGAAACAAGAAAAGGGGAAGAAGGGGATATACATCAACAACACATCAAGACGAAAATGTCGTTAAAAAAAAAAAAAAAAAAAAAAAGAAAAGAAAAGAAAAGAAAA